CTCGAACCTCTGACCAGTCTTACACGGTCTGCAACAGGCACTAACACCAGGCAGGCAGGTAGGAACACCTTAGACACAGGTCTATAAGGAGGACACTAACACCAGGCAGGCAGGTAGGAACACCTTAGGCACAGGTCTATAAGGGGAGTGCTAACACCAGGTAGGGAGGTACGAACACCTTAGATCAAACAGCCATTTGAGATCAAAAGGGCAGCATTTACCCAAGAACAAACTTCGGAAGGGTTAGGAAAGAGGAAGGAATGGAAATGGAAACCACAGGGTGAAAGCGGGATGAGGGACGTTCCACTGTGGGAACTGTAATCAATGAGATGAAACAAAATGTGTCTGAACCATTGGATGGAAATCTGACCTGCTCTGTGAACCTTCATCCAACTCACAGTGGAAAGTTACAACGCACACACACACACACACACACACACACACACAAACACACACACTCGACAAACTCTAAAGGAAAGGCTCCCTTGAGTCCTTTTAAGGTGGACGGAGCTGGTTGTTGGGGAGGCTCTCTTGCCCTCCCATTGACTGTCTCCCAGGGACAATTCTGTCCCAGACCCGAGGGACCAATTTTGGGGAAGCAGCTCAGAAGAGGGTGGGGTATCCAGCTGGCCTGATTCTCCCCCACACACACACACACACCCGAGCCTCAGTTTACCCATCTGAGCATGAGGTGAGTACTACAGGGGGAGGCAAGCAAGGTGTCCGGGATGCGCACTTTTTGGCAGAGATCACTCTCAGTACCAATGGACACCGTGACCCTGGAGGGCCCCATGTCTGTGTCATCTTTATGTCCTCTATTCCCACCCCATGACTCCTCCCTGGAGAAGTGGACAGTGTGTTTAGGGTCCTGTTTCCCAAGCGTGGGGATGCATTGGCTTCTCGATGATCCACATTCCCAGGAGCCACCTCAGTGGTCTGGGAATCTACATTGCTAGCAGGTTCCCGTGAGTCTCTGGTGGCTGGAAGTTTGACAGGCCTGCTCAAGACCAGGGAATAAACAAGCAGGGATTAGAACTTTTCTCGTTGCCCCTAGGAAACCTGGTACAGAAAGTGGAACCAGTTCCAATCCAGGTGCAGACCCTAATCCACAGAGTGTGGGGTCGAGGGGTCCCAGGCCAACCAGTGTGTCCCCAAGGAGACACTATGACAGAAGGGTCTGTAATTTACTGGAGGGGGTCACAGGCTGCCCACTCCCATGACCAGCTTGCCTTATCTCTGCAGGATGCCTGGAGTGACCAGAAGGGGCAAATCCACCTGGACTCCCAGCAGGATTACCAGCTACTTCGGGCACAGAAGACCCCAGAAGGCCTCTACCTGCTCTTCAAAAGGCCCTTTAGCACCTGTGACCCCAAGGATTACCTCATAGAGGTGGGAGGTAGCCCCACATGCTCAAGAGAGAGTGGGTAGGGGAACCACTCTTGCACTTAGGGCAAGGACCACCTGATGCTTTCAGTGGGTATGTGGGGACTGACTCCTTAGACTTGGCTGCACAGGAGATGGACCACACCCTGCTGCCCACAGGGCTAATCAGTATCAGGAGAAACATCACAAGTGGGCTACTCACAGGGGGCTCAATAGTCAAGAACTGAATATCTGCTAGGTAGAATGGATGCTACTGGGATTGACTGTTGGCAGAGTGGATGTGAGGTAGAATGGACACTGGTGGGGTGGGTGCTGAGTGGACGCTGATGGAGTGGGTGCTGAGTGAACACTGGTGGGGTGGGTGTTAGGGGATGTTGTTGGGTGGGTGTTGGTGGATATTCAGGGGTGTTAGGGGATGTTGTTGGGTGGGTGTTAGGGGATGTTGTTGAGTGGGTGCTGGGGATGTTGTTGAGTGGGTGTTGGGGATGTTGTTGGGTGGGTGTTAGGGGATGTTGTTGGGTGGGTGTTAGGGGATGTTGTTGGGTGGGTGTTGGGGATGTTGTTGGG